CAGTGCCATGTCCCTTCAGCTTGGCCTTTGTCCTGCACCATCCTGCTGCAGTGGGTAAGTGCACCCTGCACAATGGTTTTTTTCCTTTTCTGAAATGGAGGGTTTGGAGGCTTAAAGCAGGAGAAGATCTGCAGGCTGAGCAGGGGAAGTCCAGAGAAAAGTCAAGGTAGGAGCACTTCTAGCTGTGCAGAGAAGAGCAGTCCAGGAGGCTGGTGCAGATCGCTTGCGCTGTTCTCCTCGGGGGACAGGGAGTTGCTGAGCAACTGCTGTATTTCTTAGCCACCCTTTGGTCCCATGGGTGTGAGCTCCCCAGCACGGGGATGGAGCAGATGCTGGCTGGCAGGGGTAGATGGCTGGAAGGAGGGAAGACAGCAGTAGAAAGCCCGTCTGGTTACCACAGCGTTCATGCAGATGAAAGCAAAGCACAGTGCCACTCAGCACCAACCTCAGAGACCCCCTCTTGCCTTCTTGTGATTCTTGCTGCCCAGCCTCCTGACACTGGGCTCCCCACACTCTGCTGCACCGCCACTCACACCTCCCTGCAGCATCTGCTTTTCTTCCAGCCCCTGGTCCTCCTCTGCTACTTTTCCTACGTGACCTTCTGCTAACAGTCCTGCAGGTCTGTATGTGCCCCTTTGTTTTTCACAGAAAGCAGAGACAGCTAGAGCAGAGTAAACAGAGTTATTCTGTCAATAAATGGGTGACTCCTGACCCAGGGCTGAGCTCCAGCCAGTGACATCCACCTGGGGTTGAGCTCATTTGGGCCAGGGCTCACTTGGACTCATTTTGGCAGCCGGGCAGGGATAGATATTTTTCATCTCTGCCACTAAACCAGGTTTAGTCTGGGACTGCATGAAGACCAAAGCCATTGCTGTAGTTGCCTCATGTTGAATTCTAGTAGATAAACATTAAATGTAGATAGAAATCTGTAGTGTTTTACTGGGAATGCTTTCAGAACTGCTCAAGAGATTTGAGACCTGATTTCTCTTTTAAAAGTTACTTTGAGCCAGAATTTCCACAGATAATGAGGGACAAGCTGCATCTTTAGTCTCATATGTAGCTTTCCTGAGTTTACAGTATGAGGGGCTTGCCACAGTGGGTCAGAACCCATCTAAAGGTACTTCTCAGTGCCAAAGACCTTACTTTTTTGATTTAAATTTTCCTGAAAAGAAGAATTTTCATTCTCTGGTGTTTTCAGCAAAACAAAAAATGCAGAAGCTCAATCTGATCTATCTAAGCAAGCATACCACATCTATCACCACAGGCTTTTGAATAAACCAAGGACCCAAACCCTTGATCAGATCTGACTTCAGAGGAATATTTTACTGCAAGTACCCTTGCTTTCTGTTTCTCCACCTTAAATAAAAAAAGAGGAAGAGATGTGGGAGGAGGCTGAGAGTGATATCTATTTATGAACGAGGTATCTTGGAAAGGAGATGAGAGATGTGACAGCTATCTTTGCTGTCTCTAGGCTTAAGATAAAGAAAGGACTCGTGCCTGTGGCTGTTAGCTTGATATTTTCCACACCAATATTTTCCACACAGTGCTGTTTTTCAGCTTCGGTTTGCCGCTGGTACTGACGGACACGGTCGTAGCGTGTTTCTGTGGGTTTGCGAACCACACGCCGTGTTCTCATGGGCTTGAGAGCGGACTGACTGCTCCCCATGTGACATTTCCAAAGGGCTGTTGGGAACCCAGCAGCGAAAGGTCCCCAAATCACTGAGAGTGTTATGACTCTGGCATTCACAACCTGTGTTACTCAGATACAGGACCACATGATCTCGTCTTCCTGGAAGAAAGGTCCGGTTATCGCCAGATCTGACGCTGAGCACTTCCTGCCGCAGTGTGTCACAAATTCACACCCAGCATGGCTGCGAAAGCAGTACTAACAGCTTGCCAGCTCCAAAGCTGTCAACATTTTCACAAAAAGGGGGGGGTGGAAAAATACTGAGCCAGCAGGACAGTCCTCAGGAGATTGCAACAGGATCACCTCTAAGTCTGATTTCTTTTTTAGGTGTCGGAGTCCCTTGGGGCAGGGAGTAGGAAGGAGAGCTAAAGGTATATTAGTTGGAGCAAAACTTTACCTAGTTCCCTATTTAGAAAAGTTGTTAATCATTTCCCCTCACCCCAAAGGACAGAAAAACACTGTATATTACTTAATATTTTGTTTATTTACAAAGAAGCAAACCTGTTTTTTTTTCATACTCAGCAGCAAGATGTACCCAGTAAGAGTACAGATACATAATTTAGTCATGCAGAGAGAAAATTAGAAAGGAGAAAGCCCAGCTAGAACTCAATCCAGCTACTACCATCAAAATTAACAAAAACATTAAAAACAAAAAAGAGGGTCAAGGAGAATCTCCATCCTTTATTTGACTTGGCAGGGGAATATTGGCAACAAGAATGAGGCTGAGCTACTTAATGCCTTCTTTGCCTCAGTCTCTGACAGAAAGACCAGATGTCCCCAGGGTACCCACACCCCTGAGCTGGAAGACAAAGACAGGGAGCAGAATAAACCCCCATAATCCAGGAGGAAGTAGTTAATGACCAGCTGTGTCACTTAGACACTCCCAAGTCTGTGGGGCTGGATGAGATCCACCGAAGAACACTGAGAAAACTGGAGGAAGAGCTTGCCAAGCCACTCTCCATCATTTACCAGCAGTCCTGACTAGCCAGGGAGGTCCCAGGTGACTGGAGGTTAGCCAGTGTTAGAAATCCGTATTGTGATATTTGCTTTCGCAAGCATTAGGATGAATGTTATATATTAAATACTTTTCGGCTATGTATGTACTTTTTCTCTTGCTAGCGAGTTTTAAGCTTAAAGGAATTTCGTGGTACAAAGCACGGAAACCCCAGAGGGCAAAGACAGTGGGGCCCAAGCTGTTATCAGCGGAAGAACAATGGAGACCAGGCTGTTATCAGCAGCCAGGACCAGGCCGTTGGCAGCAGTGGAAGGACGTGAAGCCCAGCTGTCACCAGGGCAGGACGAGGGGCCCAGACTGTTATCAGCACTGACCACTTGCAAAGAAAGGAAATCAAATTAAAATAAAATGATGATCAGCAAAAATAAAAACCATATGAAGCATGCTCTGAAGAGGTGGGTTCAGGGCGTAACCATGCAAAATGCTTCTTAGAAAAGTTTGAATATGCATTAAACCCTCACAGCAGGGGGGGATAAAAAGAATGTTCCAAAGATATCAGGTGTGTTCCTGGCAATGTGCCAGGGGCACCCGGCCGTTTTAACCCTTTACTTAATTTCCTTTGTCTCCTAATTGTCTTTTTGTTTATATTAAATTTTTTTTATAATTTATTAAGAAAAGTGAATCTCGTTTTTCACACCAGTGTGAAACCCATCTCCAAAAAGAGCTGGAAGGATTATCTGAAGGTCAGCCCTGTCAGCCTGACCATGGTGCCACAAAAGGTCATGGCACAGGTCACCTTGAGTGCCATCACATGGCAGGTGCAGAGTAAGAAAGGGGTCAAGCCCAGCCAGCATGGGTTTAGGAAAGGTTGGTTCTGCTTGACCAGCCTGATCTGCTTCTATGAGAGGGTGACCACTTTGTGGATGAGGGAAAGGATCTGGATGTTGCCTGCTTAATCTTTAGAAAAACCTTTAACGCTATCTACCACAGCATTGTCCTGGAGAAACCGGCAGCCCATGGCATGGATGTGTGTACTCTTTGCCAGGTAGAACACTGGCTGGATGGCCAAGCCCAAAGAGTTGCAGTGATTTGAGCTAAATCCAGTTGGCAGCCCGTCACCAGTGGTGTGTCACAAGGCTCAGTACAGGGGCCAGATCTGTTTAATATCTGTTGATAATCTAGATGAGGGGATGAAGGGCTCTCATTTAGTCAGTTTGCAGATGACACCAAGCTGGGCAGAAGTGTTGACCTGCTGCAGGGTAGGAAGGCTCTGCAGAGGAGTCTGGACAGGTTGGATTGATGAGCCAAGGCCAGTGGTATGAGGTTCAACAAGGTGCTCGGTCCTGTTGGCAGCAGGGTCGCAACAGCACCGTGTTGTGCTGCAGACTGGGGAAGAGTGACTGAAAACTGCCCAGCAGGAAAGAACCTGGGGGTGCTGGTTGACAGTGACTAAATGTGAGCCAGGTGTGCCCAGGTGGCCAAGAGGGCAAATGATACCCTGACTTGTATTAGGAACAGTGTGGCCAGCAGGGCCGGGAAAGGGATCATCCCCCTGTGTGCAGTGCTGGTGAGGCCATACCTCAAATCCTGTATTCAGTTTGGGGATGCTCAATACAAGAAGGACATTGAGGTGCTGGAGGGTGTCCAGAGAAGGGCAATAGAGATAGTGAAAGGTCTGGAGCACAAGTCCTGGGAGAAGCAGCTGAGGGAGTTGGGGGTGTTTAGCCTGGAAAAAAGAAGGCTCAGGAGTAACCTTATTGCTCACTACAACTCTCTGGGAGGAAGTTGTGGCAAGGTGGAGATCAGTCTCTTCTTCCAGATAACAAGTAGAATAGATCAAGAAGAAATTATTTCAAATTGCACCAGGGGAAATTCAAGCTGGATATCAGGAAAAGTATATTCACTGAAAGAGTGGCTAAACATTGGAATAGGCTCCCCAGGGAAGTGGCGGAGTCACCATCTTCAGAAGTGTTCAGAAAACAAGTAGATGTGGCACTTTGCAATATAGTTTAGTGGGCATGGTAGTATTTAGTCAAAATTTGGACTAGATAATCTTGAAGGTCTTTTCCAACCTTAATAGAAAAACTTGAAGTCTACATGGGGACAGTGCAGCTTGGATCCTTGGTCCATGTAGGATAGCAAACTGCCTATCAGAGGCAAGGGAGCCAATGTGTCTTTTAAAAGTCCATCTGGGAAGATTCTCAAAGTACAGGAAACAGCTAGGAAAGCCTTGTGCTTCCTTATCTTATCTTCCTTATCTCCTGTTTTCTCCAGGATACAATGGAGCACTCCATGTCTTGAGACAGATGGTGAAGGAACTGATGAGGAGAGGAATAGTTCCGAAGCCCTCTCAGCTACAGGTAGGCTCAACCCCTTTGAGCAGCTCTTTTGTGGTGAAATCCAAGCCAGTGGGTGACCCTGCACCTGGGACTCATCATGACATTCAGGATGCATACTGCAAGGTCAGGTAACAGTGTAGGAGCAGGAATCTCAATGCTTGGACAGACAGAGACAGGAAAGAATTAGTTCTAGTTGACACAGTCGTGACAGAAGCATTAACAAGTTCAATATCCTTGAGCTTTTTGGTATAAATTCTCTTAGAAGAGTTTTTACAAGATATGAAGAAATCTTAGCACAAGGCTGGTATTTTCCCACTGCTGAAAAGTCCAGAAATATGGCAAGAAAATGGACAGATGGTACAAATGGTGAATGCAGGGATCTTCCTTTGCCTTACAACTTTTCTTCTGTGGCTTTTTCTTTATCCAGATCAGGGCATGTAGAGGAAGAATAAAAATGAAGTCTGTGCTATCCCCATTCTTTGCAAGAGGATTGAGGTTTTCTTTTCAGTAAAGGTGCTGATTTGTGGGTTAGTTTTCTGGGCTCATTCACCACATCTTTGCTGCTAATTAGGCAATTGTTTCCCTTGAGCAGTGGAAGGAATGGGCAGCACTGCTGTGATGTTTTCCACTTATACAGGATGTGGGATGAACTATTCTGCAATCCGCTTATCATAGTCAAATAACTGTAGTTTGCCAGCAGGGCAGAAAGGCTTTCGATTTCATGAAAAATATTGTAGCAAGAATGGGAAACTGTGTGAGTTCTTTTTACTGCCACCATCAGAGCTGGAGGAAAGAGAGGGAGGGGATTTCCCCAGTATTTTTAACCCAATAATGGGGATTTCGTTTTTTACACTGCACTGCTTAGACAGCTGATGCAACTCTGGCTCTGAGCCGACCTTAGAGACTCAAAGGTCTAGACTCTGAAGTCTAAATCTGGACTGAATAGTTTAGAATGTAATCTCTGATTAAAACCTAAAGTGGGGACATCATAGAAAAAAAACACCCTTGGTCAACCAGGAGGAGATGTCTTCATCCATTTCCTCATCAACCCCAGCACTGTCTGGCAGTGCTATTGTCCCCTGTACAAAATCTCATCTCCACATCTTCAGGCATTTCTCCATCCCATTAGGGGGTTTTAGGCCTGTATGAGGCAAACAGATCACATCCCTCAAACATCACATCACTCAAAGCTGAGTGCTGTTTTACACCAAAATGCAAAGCATGGAAGTGCTGGCACAGTCTCCTGCTGGGAGCTGGGAAGGGAAAAATGAGCTGGCGAGGTTTGGAATGCCACTTGAGAAGTGTGAGGAGTTTCTGTGCCAGTATTAACAGAAAAACAGATTTGGTTATGAAGGTAAGTCCTTGTTGGCCTGTGTTCTCCAGCCTCGTTTGTGAGCAGTCCCAATGGGATTGATGCTGAAGTTACATTCACGTCCTGAGGAGAGAAACTGTCCATCCAGCCTTCCCTGCTGAGGTGGCCTTTCCCATCTGTGGGTCTCCTCCAGGCAGATCCTAGACAGAGCAATGGCTGTACTGGCCTTGGAGGTCCCTCAGAGAAAGGTAGGCACCAGTGTTTGGGACCTGGCTGGAGAAGGCTGCTTTGCATGGATCCTCATCCTGTCTTTGCATTAGAGGTGGAGGCTGGGAGAAGGAAGAGGCAGCACTAGGTGCTGGTGTGCAGGGGTCAGCTGGAGGGCCCCCCTTCCCACTCCCCTCCGTTACACTGACAGCATCGCTGTCCTGCAAGTCCAGCTGGTCAGGAAAGTCAGTGTCCAGCTGGCACACGGACTCAGCAGGTTGTGAAACTGCTTTGTCCATCACCTTCTCATCCTGTTCCAGAACAGGTGTTGTTGAGGTGCTTTCACTCGACTGGAGAGCCCCCGGAACAGCCATGGCCTGCTGGGCTTCACCTGCTGTCTCTTCCACCAAGGAGCTCTTTTGGAAGCCTGGGGTTGCCTTGATGCAGTGGAAGAAGTTGCTGGGCAACACATTCATGTCCTCTTCCAGTGTGCAGAGGTCTGGGGAGGGGAGAGCCTGGTAACACTCACCATCCTTGCTGCCACTGCCCTCCTGGGTGAAAGGCTCGTAGGTGAAGTAGACCTGGCAGGGCTCGATCTCAAAGGAGTTGGAAAGGTGGAAGAAGAAGTAGCCTTGGTTGGTGAAGCAGCTGGATCCAGAGTGCCCACTGGTTTCCGTGGGAGGATCAGGAGTCAGGGCTCCCTTGGAAAGTTGAAACTGGGATTCCTGGTCATTCTTCTGCATCACCTCGAGCATGGAGATCTCTGGGATTGTGCTGTTCACACAGTAGGAAGATGTGGAGAATGGGGAGGAGAGCCATTTCTGGTGGGGAAGAAACACGAGAGAGAGAGAGACTGTGACTACCAAAGTACAGCACTCAGAGAAGAACCAAAGATTTCTTCTACTGACTGGCCACAGCAATCTAGTGACCTTCTCTGTCCAAGAAAGGGTTACCAGAGGTGGTGGGGAGGGAAATTCCCATTCATGATGTCTCATCTGCAGGGTTTTCAGAGAGAGAATGTCATTCTGTCACTTCAAAATTAAGAGTGGATCTTGTCAGCCTATGTTTTGAGATTTCTGAAGCAGCGAATTTAAGATGGAGGATTAAAGTGAAACAAAGGGAATAAAAAAGGTAGGAAAAACCCTTACAAGACCATAAGATGAAACGAAGCTTGAAAAACAGTATTGAGGTGCATCTCATGGAGTCTATTCCTTGGTGCCGAACAAGCTTCTGATAATCCACATGGCCATATGCAGATTTCTTGTCTAAAGTGCTCTTCCAGGCCCCTTGTGCCTAATTTTCACATTCATCATGACCAACATCCTGCAGTGCATCATTATCCTTAAAAATAAACTGGCTTTGATGACACCCAAATCCATTGCCTTTATGGCTTGTAAAGCAAATTTTTCAAGGTCTTTCTGGACTGATCAAGTGTCTTGAGTGCCTGCTGCACAACCCTGTCCCCCTACCCTGAACTCTTTCCCTGTAGTTTAAGCTTTCTAAAGTCTTTTTACATCTTGGCTTTTCCAAAGCTTAGCTGTTTCTGAGCCCTCTGCAGTTTGTTTCCATCCTTCTTATAGCAAGATGCCCCTTGGGATCACCTCCCATGTCCTGCATCTGATGCTCCCTTTAATGCTGCACAGAATGGTAATTGTCTCCTTGCAGCTGCCCATACTCACAGAGAGCTTAGGGAAAGGGGAATAGTGGAGTGGGAAAAGAAGGGAAACAGACAAGAATGCAAGGAATAGCTAAGTGCTATCCAGTGTGATGGCAATTCACATCAGGAGCAGAGGAGATGCTCACAGCAGGAAATCTGGGGAAGAGCTGGGCAGCCTAGGGCAGGTAGGGAGGCACTGAACTGGGAGGGAAGGGGATCTTGAGAGGCCAAGCTCCCTCCTGCAGGCCCCTTGTTGTCTCTCAGGCTGCCGATCATGGGAGCAGGGTGCTGTGTTATGTGTGGTTTGCCATTTCTCCATTCTGGAATTAGAGATGCCTCAGCTGAGAGTCAGGTTTTAGAAGGTCAGAAAATAGAACTTAAGCAGAGAACCCAGCAGCTGGTGCTACAGGCACATATATAATGTGTGCACATGTAGGTCTATCTGTCCTGGACATGTGCAGCTGGAGGCTCCTTTCCCTCATTTCTCTCCCCTATGGTCCCATCTGCAGTCCCGTACCTGAATGTCACCTCCGTGAACCGAAACAAGTGGGGGAAAAAACTTCTCAGGGTCTGGGATGTGAATCTTCAGGATCTTCTTAAACCTTGAGGAAGGAGAATGAGAAGGACAAATGAAGCAGGGCCTGATCCTGATCACTGTCACCATGGTGGGGGTGAAAGAGTGCACTGCAATTCACAGGTAAAGCCTGGGCATGGCAGAGAGGTAAAATAAGGTCGAGCCCGAGGGCTGTCCTTTGCCCTGGAGTGGTCTGAGAGGCACTAGCTGAGCCACGAGATGTATAGGGATGAGACAGATAAACCTGGCACTGTAAAATACATTTCCCTCAGCCTTTTCCCTGGGGGGAGGCAACCCCTGGCTTTAGTGGTTTCTTCCCTGCCTTGCCTGGTCACCTTAACCTGTCCACCTGCCACCTTCAGCCCCTGTCCTGGTGACAAGCTGAGCAAGCCTTCCTTGTTTCCAAGCTCCTGCTGCTGTGAGCTGCCCCTTCTTTGTTTGGCTGCCACCACAATGACTCAGGACCATGTGGCCTGAGCAGGGCCGTCACTGGGAAAGCTCTGCCACAGCTCTCTGCCCTCCTGGCAGGATGCTGCATGGCACAGCTGGGACACATGGGCTGTGCGAGCCGTCTGAGTGAGTATGCCTTGTATTGTCCAGAGGCCTTTCCTTCCCTGGAACCAGTGTGTTGTCATCCTGAGGCAGCATGAAGTGATCTAATCTGCTCCTCAGTTTCTCAGAGTGTTTGGATCATCTTGTCATTCCTTTGCTGAAGCTTTGCTGTAGGATGTTCTAAGGAAAAACCCTCCTGACCTCTGGAGGCAATCGGTGTACTCTCTGAAGCATCAGAACTTGCTAGCTCTTGCATATAAACTACCTTACATCATTGCAGATGATATTTTTATTCATGCATGTCTAATCCTCCCTTGCATCTTACCTCAGCATTATTTTGCACTCAATTCCCCTAGGTTAATTATACTTTGTGCAGAAAGGAAACCTTTTTAACTCCCTCTGTGCTGTACATCTAGCAGTTCCTCAGCTTTATGTTATGACTCAGGGTAAAATAGTGACCAATGACTTTCTCAGTGTCCATCTTCCTTCAGCATGCTTCTCTGTCTTTCCTTACAGAGAAACCATCCAGCCTCTACAAATTCATCCCTGAGAATGTTTGTCCCTGCTCCCTGCCAGGAACATCAGCACCCTGCTTCTTTATCCCTGACCCGAGATGAGAAAACCTGTGACTGCTTCTAACCATGTCAAGCTGAGAGGTCACTGTTCATATTGTTGTGTTGAGTAACCTTGTGAGACACTTTCAGTCTTTAATAAAAGCAGTGTCTGGTAAAAACACTGGTAAAGAGGTCCTGAAGCATCATATAGGTTTTATCAGTGTGTGAGGACTGAAAGAACCAGAAAGAACAAGAATTGTACTCCTCACTCAGGAGTTTTGCCTGCAGGCCCAATGTCACCTCACCCTGCCTGAGCTCTTGCTGGAATGTCTAAATGAGAAGATAGTGGTAACCAGGCTTATTTGGTCCTCGCTGCAGGGAGAGTTCTCAACCCAATGACCTGCTTTTGGAGAGGCAATTTTGATGCATCCCTGCCAGGAAACACCACTCTAACCCCTGGGCAGCAGATGTGCTGAGACAGCTGCTTTAAATATAGCCAGGGCATAGCACCAGGGCATGGCACCAGGTCACAGCAGCATGGCACAATACGACAGTGCTGGTGAAACCACATCATCTTGGGTAGTGTTATTTCTCCACAGGCAAATATCAGTCTCAGAAGGTTGGGCTATAAACCATAAACTGCTTGGATTAAAGCCATCTCTATCCTGAGTAACACCAGGTGAAAAATAATCTGAGTTTTGAGAATACACACAAGACACAGCAGAGGAACAGAGATGTAAACTTAATTCTCAATTACCATTTCAGGGTCCGTAAGTTAATGAGGAAGGCAGTCCCAATGATCACGAAGACAAAAGTGCTCACTATCAGAACTGGCAGGACTGGCTGGGATGTTCCTGCAAGATGAGAATGAAGAAATGGCTGTTAAAATCTAACCAGGACTCTGGGATTCTGTAGGTAGAAGCTGCAGCCCTTTCATGGCTGTTCAAAGTGATCAAAGTGGGCCTTTGTTATAATTTCATATAACATTATAATATTATCTTGAATTATCTATATTATAATTATCGAGAACTATAATATACAGGTCAGAGTATATGTGAGTTCTGCTCACATCTGTGCAGGATGCCTTTGAGCTGATATGGGTTTCAGAGTCTAAGCATTGCTTAACAGATAATTAGTGCTGAACAGCTTGAGCTCCCTGGTCATAACAACACCACAGCTAGGGGTTGCCACAGATGAGGTAGCGCAGGCTGCTGGTTGAAGTGTCCACCAACCTGTCTGTTTCATTGCCAAGGAAAGCAGGGACTCCTAAAACCAGCTAAAGTGGGGTTGGAGGCTTGAAACAGCACTAATGGTCAGTGAGGGAGAGGGACTTGTGTCTTCTCACAGACTTCTCACAGGTCTGTGAGAAGGCAAGAGAAGGTTAGGGATCGAGGAATTGGCTTCTTTCTTTGGAGAGGTGTAGGGAAGCATTAGGAGGCTAGGAAGGTTACAGCTTTACATCATATTTAGTACTTGGATTGTAGGGTTAGGACAAAGAGACTGGGCTCCCACACTGCCGGGGCCGCTAGCACTCCTCAGGCTTGTTTGGCATCATCTCAAACATTCCTTAATCTCTCTCTTTCACACATATCTCCCCAGTGCACCTTCTCTTGGTCTTGCTATTCTGGTGCCTGTTTCCTCTGCCTGCCCCTCATCTCCTCCCATCCCTCGTGTCCCTTGGTCTGGTCAGGCAGAGAATCTCTGGAGCAGTTAGGAGAGAACAGAGAAAAATAAAAGACGGAGGAGACATTTTTAGCACATTCTTTCTTTCCCTGTCCTTGAGATGCTACTCATATCACTTTGTTTCCTCTGCCTCTGGTACCCTGGTTATCTTTGGGTCTTGGTTGCTATGACAACTGGTTGCGGCTGTATCCTATTCACTGACATCACACACTGTCAAAATTTGATCACCACAGCAACACAGTGCCCTTTCTAAACATAGCTCCTCTGTTTATACAAACACCAGGAACAACAGGGAGGGGTTGAGCAGAGGCAGGATGGGGGCAACATGAGAAAGAATAACCTCTACCTGCCCATTTTTTGGAAAAAGAATGACAGGGGCCACAGCCACCGACGCACCAAAGGGCACTATCTTCCAAGGCTGGAAGTTCATACAGTGACTGATGCAAATCTCAGCAGACCTTGTTCAAAAGGGTTTTATCATGCACTGAAGTCAGTAATTCTCTACCAGTTTCCATGAGACTTTGCTTCCCAGGCTTGGGTGTTCTTCAGCTCAGCTGGGCTGAGAGCTGTTTCACTGCATTTCACTGATCAGTACCTCCCCACTCAACTGGGCCGTTTTAGGAAGCTGGGAGAATAATCCCAGGTAACATTAACATCTGGGAAAATGCCAATCCTGGCCACTGCTTCTGCTGGTTAGACATCTGGCCTTACTGCTCTGGGGAAGTAGTCCCTGATCTATACTTTGTGGATTTTGCCTGCTTTCTGGAAGTCAGAGGGACTTTGCTGGGGTCAGGGGGTCTTTGCCCTTAAGCTGTGATGCTGAGGGATCAGGAGGGACAGTGTTCAACCTTTCTGTTACTCTTAGGTGAACACAGTTCTCCCTACACATCTTCCTTCAGCTTCTGACTCTTTTGGCCATTCTACCTTGTTTGTCCTGAGTCCCTGTTTCCCCCTCCACGTCAGACTACCTGACTTACCCTTATGGTCAGCGTGTGTCCTCCACAGGACTGGCTTGCTCCAGTCACTCCACACGCCTTTGTAGGTGCTTCTGGCACTTGGCCTTGCACGGACAGCTGCCTCATATTTCGAGTTGGGTGAGAGTCTCTCAAATTTTGTCCACATCTGGTCCTGTTCAATGGGCAAGTTTGCAGCCTCCTGGGAGTAGGGCAAATTTATAACATCATCAACACCCTGGCTTACAGCCTCACATACCCATCTTCTCCAAGGCCCTCAGAGAAGACCTGTCTCAAGTCCTTACACTTTGTGCACAGCTTGTTCACCCTGAAGAAAAATTCTTCTTTGGTTTTGCTTTTCTCGTCCCTTTCAGGTCTGTCCTGGAACTCTTAATTTTTTTTGTGACAGCACTAAGTAAAATAGGATCCCCATCTGCCTCCTTGTCATCACCAAACACTGGCAGCAGGTGACACAGATAAAGGAGTGGGGGCTGTCATCCTCTCTCCAGCTTCACCAAAACTGGTCACATCCTGAGAGGAGGCCCAGGATCACATCCTGGGGGACTTAAACAAGACTAGGATTCATCCAGGATTGGTAGCATGTCCTGGTTTCCCCCTCTGTACTCACCTCCCAGGACTGAGCCACGTGTCGGTACCGCACTTGGTACTCCCGCATGCCATGCAAATAGTGAGAGGAAATAGTCAGGCTCCATGTTAGGTTGGAAGTGTTTTCAGTTATGTTAACCAGCTGAAGGTTTTCTGGAGGCCTCAGCTTTACTGGAAAGAGAGAAGAAGCTGGGCTGATATCCCCATACTCTGTCCATAACAGGACTGCACATCAAGCCCCTCAGCAGCAGGACATCTCCTTGAGACAGGTAAACTCCTACAGCCAGCAAAACAATGTCCCAAGCACATGTTTTACTTCTGGATTAGTGAGCTGAATCCTTGCAGCAAAGACTGAAACATGCCAAAGCTGTCTTAAAGAAGTGTGGAAGCAGATAACTGGAGGGGGGCTGAGGAAGAGCAGCAAGACTTTCCATCCTTCTTGCAGCACACATTTTTCTTGAGGACAGCTGAGCTACCATTACCTGTTTGAAGCCAGATATGGGACAGGACAGGACGTGGCTGGCATGACACTGCATGACAGAGGAGCAAGTGGCAGGAGCCAACATTGTGCTCATTGTAGCAGGGGACAAGCAAAAGACAAAGGCCTAAAATCAGCTGTGGGTGTTGCATAGGAGAGGATGAGGAAGGAAAAATAGCTATCCTCACATGGGGAAACTTCAGGCACCAGAAGGCAGATGAGTACTCACTATTTGCAAATGGATTGAAGTTTTTTATTTGGGCAGGTATTTTGGTTTTATTCTCTGCAGTGTGGCAATGGACAGACAAATGAAGACGGTCTGAAACGGTGAAGCACTGATTCTGCAAGAAAAGTTAACCATTAGTATCAATGAAAGCTAATGAATATGCATTCAAATTTCTAAGCATTGCCTATACATAAGATGATTAGGCATACTTGACAATAAATATGGAAGGTAGTTGTGGAAGAAGGGCATAAATCTCAGTGGTGAGTGAGGAACCAAAAATTTATATTCCATGTGGTTGGATTTTCCTTTGGTTTATTGGCAAGAAGGGCACAAAACATTGTGATATGTTAGTTTCTTGGGATTCCAGTCTGTGCTGACTAATCAGGAAAAGAAGTTGCTCTTTATGAGTGACATTTATAGAGAAATTTTATTTTTACCAGAACATGTTATGTTCCCTGGTAAGACTGAAACTGCATTAGTATTAAACATGACACTTGAAACGCAGTGATACTGAAGGGCCACATACATCATACAGTACTGAATAAGCAACAGAGAAATTAGCTTGATTAGAAAGGAAAGATTTTGGAGCTATATACCAACCCTGCAATTTGTCTTTGCACATGATATGCAAATGTATGAAAGTCTGTCTTTAGAACTGGTTGTGACTTTACCAATAAAAATATTAGCTCGAATTTGGGTGGGTGTTTTCTGAAAACATGGGGATGGCAGTGACTCTGCATGTGACTGAAGGAAGTACCTAATGTATCTAAAATAAGACTGATTTAAATAAAGAATAATAGTTAGAAGATTTGCATCACCATTAGCTCCAGTGATGTGCTGCTGTTGCATCTTGTATTAGACACATCTAACCACACTTCACAGTATCTAATGATCTGGAAAATGGTATTGATATTTTCTAGGAAAATGAGACCAAGAGCTGGCCTCAGAGCTGGTGGTGATGCCCATCCCTCCTCAGAGGAAGGGATTAGGGCCAAACAGGTGACTGAGGCATGGGACACTTCATGTGATCTGTCTGTCCTGCAGCTCTTCTGCATGTGGCAGGACAGCATGGTCCAGCTCACAGTGAAGCCAATCCCTCCTGCAGGGGAACCCACAGAAGTCATGTATATCAACAGCACACAGCGCCAAACCAAATCCCAGGTCCGGAGTCAGGGATTAGGTTTGGGCTTTTTGTACTACCCCTGGATGTTACACTGCTTATACACCCAAAATGCATACACAAATCCTTTCCACTTTGTCATTGGCCAGGACATCCCAGATGAATTACTCACATTAGCATTTTGGTTGAAGGTTTTGATGCATCTCCTCAGTCCTGTCATATGCTCTGTCTTGAATAATTCGCAGTACTTCTTGGATTTTTCAGGTGAGGGATTTAACTCCAGGAAGCTGGGAAGTTACAGTTTTGTAGTTTGTCAAATATTATGTAACATTAAAGGGCTTTCAAAGCATTTTACATCCTACTGTATTTGCTGAACAGGTTACAGCACTGATTTAATCCTACTTTCTCTTCCCACTGTATCACTCTGACAAATTTTATGTGCTGGCACATAAGTCAACGGACCCCAGTTATTTCAGGGCAAAGAAAACAGCAGATTTCCAGTTTCAATGACTTCACAAAACCCTCTTCCTATATTCTCCGCTACCTGTTGATGTCAGAGGGCATACAGAGCCCAAACTTACCTACAGCAACATGGCCCTGGGAGACAGGTGCCTGTTTCAGCTCCTCTAGGATTTACAGGTCTTCTTCCAGACATTGGCAGTCCTGTAGGATCTCAGACACTCAAGGGACATGTACCCTCTGAGCCAGGTCACATCTCAGTCAGCCAGGACAGTACATCACAAGTGGCAGCTCTACCCCGTAACTTCTCTCCTGCTCTGAGAAGTTGGCTGGAGAGCCCCAGCTGAGCTATGGCATGGGGTGTGGCAGTGTGGAGAACATCTGTGGGGTTCCAGCTGGGGCAGTGTCTGACTGAGGCGCCTGCTCCAGCTCCAAGGTCAGATCAGGCCTGGGACTCGCTGACAGCAGAGAGGGTTTTCTTACTAGAGCCCTGATCAAAGGATGCCACAGTGCCACATCCAGCCCCAATTCCAGCCACAGTCTCTGATTCACACCCATGGAGCAACATAAATGTTTTAGCTTTCTAGGTCCATGCACCAGCCCCAAGATACATTTGTCAATCCAACCCAACTGGAGGTGTCTCTATGACCGTGACCAGTAACCCAGCCAAGAACGGAATCACACTGAGCCTCTCCTTATGACAGGCACCCAGATCAGTCCTGGGGTGGGCTAGTAAGCCTCTTGGCTGCAGATGTCCTCTTAGGAGATGACAGAGACTCAGCCAGCCCCCATTTCAGTTCAGGCCAAACACCTCCCCTCTGCTGGGAGGCATATGGGAGAGCAAAACATCATGAACTGGAAGAGATGAAAGAGCCAGGGGAGAGAAGGGGGACAGTGCTTTTCTGTGTTTGTTGTTACTCAGGGTGCAACATCTCAGCTCATCCTGGCAATTGCCAAATGGCTTCTGTATAACTTCAATTCCACCCTTCTCCAGCCCCATCTCTATACATCCTCATTTTCCACTGGAAATGCCTTTCAGTCCCAAGGCTGTCTGCCAAGGAAGAGGGAATTTTTGAAAAGTGAAGGTCAGATGGAGCCATGGAGCTGGAAGACAGGTTGTACGTGACAGTTTGGGACTGTCAGACAGCAAACACTGAACAGTGGCTACCAGCATCTCAGCCCACATGGAGATAGAGACAGAGTTCAAGACAGAACACCTCAGCTCTGTGACTCCACTACCTAGCCTGGGAAGGGGAACCCTACACTTTTGTGACATTGTTTTTCCTCAGTCTCTCCAGCCACCCACCTGTCACAAAAGCCTTTCTTTGATAAAATCTCCAGCTGGCATGGTGCTTCAGTCAGGTCCCTGCCTGGGTCCCAGTCGCAGAAGAGAGCCGCCCGTGAGTCATACCAACAAGTGAGGCTGGAGGCACCTGCCAGCAGAGAAGAGATGGACAGCAATGTGGCTTAATTAGCAATGATGCTTGGCGTTAATCGTCACCCCGGACAATGCTGCCCCATCCCAAACTACTGAGTGACTCCTCTGCTGGACAACCCCAAGTAAGAAAGGCAGCACCGCTCATTTCTCTGAATCCTTGGAGGCTGAGGTGCTCATCAGAGACCTTTAATTCTGCAAACTCTTCTGGCTGTATGTTACAACACAAACACTGCACAGCAGCACACCGTAGCTCACACACTGCCCTGGCTGACTCCCCTCCCTGCTCACCCACAGGTGAAAGGAATCGCTTCTTACCTTGTGCTGAGTCTGATGCCCACGAGGGAGGTATGAGGCTGAACAGGCAGAGGTGAGACAGGAGCAGCAATGAGGGCTTCATCAGTACTGGTGACACACTGATAGAGAGAAGACACCCCCACAACACAGCTCAACAATGGGACTTAGGAAGATGTCGAGAAGTCATCTCATAGGAAGCATCCACCATCCTAGGATGCAGCGCCAGTCTTCTAGGTTCAGGAACTCATATCCCTTTCACTCCGGAGCCTGCACTTTTCCCTCAGCACCTCACTGTTCCCCTGCCTTGGGTGCTTTGCCCAGCAGTGATGCTGTTCACAGGGCAGCACAGAGGCTGTTTGCAGGAATCATGTCTTCTGAGAACGCCTGAGTGAGCACACAGCGGTCCGCGCGCCTTGTCTCAGGCTGCCTGCTGACTCAGGTAGAGAGTGCTGCCTCGGCTGCGCACAGCTTGTGCTTTGAAGAGCTTTTTTTGGTAAACCCTAGGGCTGAAATAACTAGGTGCTTGCTGAGTAAGAGGGTCCCTGGATGCAACTGACAGGAGTTGCTTGCACAGTTCATGGCTTAGGAGGCAGGTTTTGAATAGCATGTTTGGGACAGGTGAGGGAATCAGGAGAAGAAAGTGTTTATCGGTTCTAGAAAGTCAAGGCTTTTCCATATCAAAAGATATTACATATTAGTGCATGAACTAGGCAAGATCCCCTCCAAGTAGACCCTTGCTCTGCCTTAGAAGGAGTCATGATTTTAGGCGTATCAGAAAATTTGGGCTTTGTAATTAAGAAACTCAGCAGCAGCCCTCATCCAGCCCAGGCACCCAGGGAGCCTCCTTGTCTTACAAAGCTTGTACAAAGTTGTGTTCCATATTAGACAGGTTAGCCTTACAGTCTTCTCATCCAAGCCTCTCTCTCCCCATCCACCCGGACACTCAGACCTTGAGATCTGCCTTTGCCCCCGGGAGAAGGAACCGTCCTCTCCTCTCACCAACCCTGAAGCTCAGGCAGGCCTGAGGAAAACAGGAAAACACTGGACCTTGCTAGGACTGCCAGAGGAGTGGGAAGAGAGGGTTTATAAAGGGCTGGCATGCCAATTCCCGTTGTGATAAAAGATTAGGTTCAGAGGAAGAAAAACATGATGACAACACAATAGCAGACAGGGGAGAGAGAGAGAGAAAGCGGGCAGTGTGGTTGTGAGATGCAGGGTATGATTTGAGAGGATTGTGGAGAGACAGAGAGATAAATATGTTCTCAGCCCTTCCCAACGGCGAGATGAAGTTTGTCAGATTGAAACTCCTTCTAAGATGCTTTCAGATCAGCCACCCCCATGTGGGAGAGAGCTGGCATTTCCCCCTTTACCTTCCAGCTCCGGGCACCGAGCGGTCCAGATGAAGGGAGTCCCTGGGGTCGTGAGGTTGGATGGCAGCAGGTGCTGAATGTCAAACAGTGAGGGGAAGGGTGAGGGGAAAAGGGAGAGCGATGAAGGCAGATATCCTGGCTCAGTGCATGTCCACAAGAGAAGAGGTGCCTACAGCCCAGCAGTTCTGCTCCAAAGCTGTTTCTTTAATCTATGCATGGTCTCTCTCTGTCTTCTTCGTCTCACCTGTGCACAGGAAGCTGCTGCTTGCTTGCCTTGTCAGACTGAGACAAGGCCCTGAAGTATCAAAAAGGCTAGTAAGGACAAGAATTAAAAAAAAACAAAACCAAACCACATTTTACTTCCTGCTGATAAAGCAGTAAGTGCAGAAACCGGGTTAGAGGGGTCAGGTGTTAGCACTGCTCAGACATTCTGGGACCAGTTTCAAACCATTGCTGGGAGGCAAAAGAGAGAGCAAAAATGACCTCTTGGGATAATGGCAAGACCCATAGCTTCCTCTTTTAAATACCCAAATGGATCACTCATTTTTCTCTCAGGGTCTGCACAAGTTTACAGATCACTTTGAAACTCGGGGACAGGAGTGTGTCTACAGCAGAAATACCATGGACCATTTTGTGAAAAATAGCTGGAATTTCTGACCTGAGCAATGTGGGAACTGACAGTGGTCAAAAATGAGATTTTTAGGCTTCAGGCACTGGCTTGAGCCTGTGGGAAGGTCAGGTACACAACTTTCTCACTCTGGCCTGGGAAATCATAGGGAGGAATCCAAACAGTCCTTAGAGAAGGAAGACAGCCTTTGCAGGTGTTGTCTCCTTGTTCTTTACTTGCAAGAAATGGTCAAGTGGTGTTGTTCCTAATTGTCCAATGATGGTGATGTGTTAGTTTGATGACCAATGGAAGCTTTACCTTTTTGGACCTTCTGGGAGCTGTCTATAAAAGAAGATCTGCAAGAATTAAAAGTGCTCTCTTCTGCAACTAAAGCAGGAGAGTCTGTGTCGCCGCTTTCACCGTTCCTAATACAGTGAGACAGAGCAACACCTGAATGAACATCATCATTGCCCTGGTTTTAGAGGATCCCTGCTGGGTCACAGTGGGTGTGGAAACAGGTCAATGCTGAGTGTGAACCAGTTTGAGGCACACCTTCACACTTGAAGATGGTGTGACACCACAAGAACACCCATCCCACTACCTCCCTACCCAGCCAAACACCCCATTCACTCCACAGGAGGAAGAACCAGCCCCTCTGACCTGAGCCTTGCAGCTAGTCCAGCCAGGCAATACCGCCCTGCAGTAGCTGCAGTTTCTGTTTGGCATGGCTTGTCCATTCAACAGGCCAGACAAAGATGCAAAAAATATTTCTGCCTTCTTCCAAAGCTTCCTGCACCCTCTCCTTTGCAGACAGATATCCCCTTTCTTTGCCTCCACTTCCCAAGCCAAAGCAGATGTACAAATGCAAATCCACAGCCTGATGGTTGCCTGGTTCACAGATAGGCACAGACCTGCAAACATGTCCTCACACCCCTCTCTCTTTTCCATACAGAAATAGAACTCTCTGAAGCACGGCACATCACGTTTCCTGCCTGGTGTGGACTGCACAGTGATGGCCACTGGTGTGAGGCCAGATGATGAGAGTCTCCTCTTACATGTACAGTGGTCACCACACTCAGTGCTCCTCATCCCTCTCTCCTAGAGCAGCTCAAGGCCCAAGCTCAGGTTTGGCAAGAAGGTTTTGCTGACCAAAAGTTGTCAGAGGCTAATCACAAGCAATTTCTCTTTGAGGACTCTATAAACCTAGAGGATGGGACCTAGTTTAACAACAAAGGGATCTTGGATTCAGGTAGTGGAAAAAGGGTGTAGGTGGAGGATGGGTTCTTAGTCACAGGAAGCCCAGCCCAGAGACTGGATCTCAGAAGACACTAGACCTCAAAAAGAAGTAGTGTTGGAGAGAAACAGTAGTTTGAAGGCAGAGCCGTTTTGCAGAGGGCTGCAATCCTCATGGCCATTTCTGGGAAAGCATTGCTGTTGATCCAGAACCAAGCACTCACTTAACCAGCAGTAGTGGAGTGCAGCACCTCTTTCTTCACCACACACAACAAGGACCAGGAGGCTCCAGAGCTGTCATTTGAATGCATCTGAAAACTCTTGTCATGGCCAGGCTTGGGGAGGACAGCCAGGGAACCAAAGCCAGCCAGCCTCTGCTGAAAAGGAGCAGGGGAGAGGATGGGCTGTGAGCTCTCCTGCTCTGCTAACTGCTGGCTGTGTATGTTGCACTTTGGAGGCTCCCATCAGGATGGAGATGTAATGGCATGGATCATCAGGCCACAGACCACCTTTCCCAGGAATTCTGAAAATTAATGCAGCTTACTCTGGCACAGAAATCCTCAGCTGAAGCAATGAAATTCTCTGTAAGTTCTTGTAATCACCAGCACTGCAGCTGCAATAGAACATTCATGTTAACCAGAATTTTTGCTGTTTGTCCTTCAGGCTAGAGAAACCTACACCTTCCTTAAGACCAGAGATCACTTTGGGAAAGCAAGTGCACAAAGCACAGGTTTTTTTACTGTTCAGCTTATCAAGGGAAAAAACTCCACTGATTCAGTTTGGGGTTTTTTTAATGCATCAAAATCATATGAGGTTGATTGTGCACTATGGTTACTGAAATAGTGGAAGTGGAAAACTTAACATGCAGTCAGTCCCTATAGGAGATGGGTGGCTGATGCAGCTGGAAACAAGGATTTGTGTGATCAGCTGCCTCTCTGGAGTCTGTTCTTTTCTAGATCTGTTTCTCTATGAATGATTCTTCTGCAGATTTTGTGCCAGCTAGTAAGGACTGATGTCACATTGAAGACTTTTCCATGGAAGGTCCCAATGGAAAACCAGCAATCCTCTATCAAGATACCCTTGCTTAATACAGGGTATGCCTCTTTGTCAAGAGCAACTGGAATTGACCAAAACTGTGAGGGGAGGAGGAATGATCCGTTGGATCAGCTACAGACAACCAAACATCGATTCCTCAGCATATTTTCCTTGGAAACACTGTTTAAAATGCATTGAAGCAACAACTGTGGCATAAATAAGAGAGGCTTTCCTTCAGAAACATGATAATGGTATTGTGTCCAGACCCCACCTGGCACATGTAAATTTTGCTTGCTGTCAGCACCGTTTTTGAACTTGATTGCCCAAGATGTTGTGCTACTGAGAATGTGGCACTTTTTATCTCCTTCACACTGATATTGTTAGGAATGGTGCCATTTGTAATGTGAGAAGCCAAACAAAACCACATTGTCAGCAACACATGCAAGGTGTTCTTGTCTTTACCTTCCTGTCCCCATAATGGTTGCTGAGATGGGTAAACTCTGCAGTCAGTGCTGTTCAGTGTTTAAGTGGCATGTAAAAGTGTGATGTGGAGGTTTGGTTAAAGGTGTTGCTTGGTCCAGACTGGTTTCAGGGGCAGCATAAGTTTTTAAAATACTCAAGTCTGAGGTATGTACTTATGCACAAGACTTTTCCCCCTCACACTGCTTTCATCAGAGAAGGGGAGTGCTGCTGAAACTGCTCATTTTCAGTTGCATGTCCACTGAGAGTCTGCAAAATGGCAAAGGTGAACAGGGGAGCAGACACAGAGAAGGAGCATTGAAGGAAGGGTGAAAGTATTGTGTGGTATCAAACTACCCCACGAATCATCAGCTCATCACATTCGTTAGGCTGAGGGCATCCCTTCCCTTTGCTGGCTGTCAGTGGGACCAGAGTGTCAGGCTAACTGAGGTGCCTTGCAAACTGCCCAGCTCAGCAGGGTGAGCTCAGTGGAGGGCTCAGCAGGTCCATCTCGGTGTCCTGTCCCCATGGCCCCCTGGAGCAGAGCAGAGGGAAGGGCACAGAACCAGCGGGAGGTGAAGGGATGAGGGCAGAGATGCCCCGATGGCCACTAAAGTTCGCTTCCTGACAGGATACACTGTGAAGGTCTCTAGAAGCTCTGCAAGTTATTTCTGGTACTTTCCAAATAATGTTGTTTTAACTATAACCTTTGCATTGAATTTCCTGCCATTCGTATGCGTGCGCTTCTCAAAACATGTGCAGTTATTTTCCCCTTAAACTGTGGTTCTACTCCGAAAAATGTCTGTAAAAATGGCCTTGTGGGAAACCACTGCTCTGTGTGTAAGTGAGGTCTTTATTGAATTTGTTCACATTACAAGCCTATAAAAGGCTTTACTTTGTATCAAAACAGCAAACTTGGGCTAACGTGAGAGAGGTTTTTTCCCTCCTGCTCCATCATTCCTAGAGATATTGCTGCTACAGGCTAAACACTGCCCTCAAGTAAATCTCTGTGTTTAAATGGAGAGGCATACAAGCAAAGGAGTTTAAGACCCAGAATTTGGTACCACAATGGAGTAACAATGCTGGGCGGCAAGTACTGAGCCTACCTATAGAGCAGATGATATTCCTGCATTTCTTTCCTTCCAAATTCTGCCCTACAGAGTGTCCTGACAGACATGCCTGATAAAGGCAGTGGACATCAAATATACACATGAATACACAAAGTTCAGAAGTAGGGATTCCCTAGCCCTGTAGGCTATAGAAGAACATGGACAAAAGTGGTAAGAGGCTGAGGCATTCACAAGCACTTTCCCTTGAGGTAAGTCAGAGGCCAGAGGTGGGAAGTGATGGAGGAGGTGTTCACTTTCACTCCTTGACAGTGATGGTCACAGCCTCAGAGAAGTGGGGGGAAAAAGGGTGGGAGGGAGAGCATGCTACTGTCAAGCAGTTTCACTCTTAGCCTGCCTGGCTGTGAACACACTGCAGTGATCTCATGAGGAGAAGCATGGGACAGTCATGAGATGGGCCTGCTTGGGACCTGAGCTCTGGCTCCCCAATATGTTTGGGTTGA